AATGCCTTTAGGCTAAGTTTCACCAACCATTTGATGAGATGCTGGGCTATCCTCCCTACCACCCCTCCACCCTTCCCCTCTCCCCCCATCCCCCACAACACCGCAACAGCTGGATGAGCCCTGGTGTGTAAACTTTGCATGTTCATAGGGAATTCTATTGGAAATTCTACTCTTCTTCCAAATAGCCAAAGCCTGTTTCTGGAGATTTCTGTTTTCCGGTTTTTTGTATGTTTGTATGGACTTGCATGCATCATGGAAGTCTTGGAATTTTCTTACTCTTTTTTTTTTTTCTTACGTTTTGTGGCTGTTGTTGTGGGGTGGGTTGGTGTTGGTATTGTAGACCAGCTTTTTCTAACTCCCACCCCTTTTTAAGGATTTACACATGCTTCGTAAAATTTTCTGAACTGCAAAAATGTTTCTCTCCTGCTCCGATTATGAAAATTGAAACTGCAAGCAAAAGAGACGAACTGTGATAATTCGGAGAATATTATGCTTAGGATCAGGAATTCTCACAGAAGTGCTATCACCAGGCCTGCCATAATAAGAGATTACTTTTAAGTCCCCACTCATGCTGGCTTTCTTTTCTAACTTGTTTATTTTCACAGAATATAAAAAAATGCAGTCGTCAGAGCATTCCTCTCAGGGAGTCTGCTCTTAGTCCTTGTCTGAGGATTTCTGTCTAAATGGCCCTGGTATCATTTTAGCAGTCATATTGTTTGCTGAAATGGAAGCTTCCCAGGGAAATTAAAGCAGTTAATTTAATATCATGAAATGTTTTGGGGCTTCTCAGCTTATTCAAAGACCGAGGAGTGCAAATCAAATTAGGTATTCTGTATAAAGGAGAAGACAATGAAAGTTGCCTCCAAAAAGAAAAAGAGTGGCTTTTCCTCTTCCATCCACTGCCTTCCTAGACTTCCTAGGAAGAGCACAGAAATCTCATAGTATCTCCAGTTCTTCCTGAGGATCCCTGCTGTGGGGGAGGGAAGGGTTTCAGTGTCTCAGGGAACCAGGAGGTGCGAAGCCCTGTATGGGCTCAGAGGGAAATAATGCTTATGACACTTAGGTCTGCTCCCTTGTCATAGCAAGGGCCACAGGGCATCAGCCAGAGTCGTGTGGCTCGTGACTTAGCACTGTCTTTCACAGACCTCGGTAAGCACTAGTAGACGATATTTTAGCAGCAAAGAGAAATACACTTCTCAGCGCACAGGAAAAACAGGGGCAGAGGCAGGCATGCTCAGTTGCTGGGCCCTTTCTGCTCACATCTCCAAAGTTTCTTTTGCCCATGCCCCCTGAGTGACGGTGAGCTAGGCATGGAGTATGCTATGAGCTTTCCTCATTCCTGTTTAAAGGGGGTCTTTGTGAGTGAATGTGTTCAAAGGCATGATACAGACCTTTAACCCTCCAAGAGCTCAGAATACATGTCAGCAGCCTCCAGCATACTGAATTCTCAGAAGCAACTGCTAAAGCAAATGCTTTGGCTTCATCTACCAGAAGGTTCTCTGTGTGTTTATTAGTCCTCTATTCCAATGCCGACAAGGAAATGCTGGGCTTGCAATTTTTGCCTCCCCAACCCCACCCCCAACACACACAGCACTTTGGTGTCTGAGTTGTTATTTTGGAAAGAAAAAGCAACCTATGGGTAGTGAGAATATTCTTTGGGTAAAGATGCTTGCCGCCAAGCCTGATGGCCCAAGTTCAGTCCCTGAAGCCCACACAGTTGAAGGAGAAATCAGATGTGCTCAGATCATCCTCTGACCTCCACACCTCTCCCTCGAATAAATAAATAAGTGTAAAAGAAAAGAAATCTTTCTGACCAGGCACCTGCTCGTTTGGGTTGAGGACCCCGTGTTTGCATGAAACAGCAGGAGTGACTGTGGGCTGTTAATTGGGCTTTTTGTGAATCGACTCAACTCCACAAAGCTGTACTAGCGGGGAGGTGCAGTCATGGCTGTAGTCCCCACTTGCCTGACAAACCTTCCTAGCGCGAATTTTTGAGCCTGTCCCTTTGACTAGCGAGGATAGCTGGGATACAGGTCCTGTTTGGTTTCTGTATGGTTAGGATGAAAGGACACCATCTCCTTTCTAATAAATGTCTTCTGGGCAAGCACACTTAAGCATAAATGTTTTAATCTTGGATACATTTCACACGTGCTTAAAGTAAGGCATGAAATACAGCCACCGAGATGTTTTTGTTACATCCCAGTTTTCCCTTTTATGAATACATAGATCGGTGTCGATTTGTGCCTCCCCCTGAAAGGACTGAAACGTCACACAATTACTAATGTATCCAACCACTCCGATTTTGTCTTAAATGACCAGGCTCCTCTTGTCCACACTATTTTACAACCTGGGCTTCGGGACTCCGACGCAACATTGAGTGCAGATTTTTATACATTATTTTAGCCCCCCCTCCAACTTTTAATTCTCTTTCTACCACTCTCTGGTGGGATTCCCTCACCTCTTATTCTTTATTTTCTACTTAAACAACAAAGAGGTAACGCTGAGAAGACAAACAGGGTGTCAAGGCTGTTTCCTTGTCTGCTCCCCAGTCTTGGTTTATGAAAGCAGGATTCCCACAATAATTTTCTGGTTAGTTGTAATATGTTTTTCTCTTCAGTCTAGAAATAACTACACTTGGAAGATATGCATATATGAACATATATATATATATATATATATATATATATATATATATATAGAGAGAGAGAGAGAGAGAGAGAGAGAGAGAGAGCAAAAAGAAATGCCAATTAGTTTGGATTTTTGGAATTATAGCTTTCTCTTTTCTCTTGAAGATTTAATTTTTCCCCATGGGAAAAATTCTGTATATTTAAAATAATCCCCTCTTTGGTTACTAATGCCCTCAAAAAGAAAAGGAATGAATAACACTCTATAAATCTGCTCACTTGGGGTATGCTATAATTTCAAGGTCCTCTGTGAGATGCACACACAAGGCGGTTCTCTACAAATCGCCGTCACCCCACACTGTATTCCAGTCTGATGATTTAGATATTTTTCTACTTAGGTGGATGGTGTGGGTTTTTGCCGAATTCAGCATGTTCGTTGAACAATTTCTTGGAGCCCAAAGCCAGCCCCGCCAAGTTTCTGCTTGGTAAGGTTTGGTGGCCTTGACGTGGATCCGAGGTTGTTGATTCATCGGCCTTTAAACTGATGATAAATCTGGAATCTGGGCAGCAAGACTAGATTGCCCTAATAGAACCACTGCCGGGAAAGTAGCTGTTCCAGTACAGTTCCAAAAACATCAGCGAAACCGTGTAAAGAACAGCTCCGGAAAGGTCAGGGACTGAAGAACCCGGAAAGTCCACAAACACCAACATTAGCCAGGACTTGGAACACTAGGTGTAGAACTGGTCAACCTGAAGGATGCTTCTGCTTTCTGACTGAGATACATCTCAGTCACTTTCAAATCTGGACATTACTTGTTTTAAATTTGCACCGTGGCGGCTGTCTATCTGGGTGAGGCAGTTTTATAATAGTGTTCAGGATCTGGCTCAGCACAGGAACTCACATACATTAATAGTCCTACATCCATATACTTTTGCAATGAGAATAATGTTTTGGTTTTAACTCTATATTCTTATGGTGAAAAATAAATAAATAAATAAATAAATAAATAAATAAATACCCTCTGTGAGAATTACCAAATGTTAGTTTGAGTGTGTTTTGTGGAGAGCTGATTTGGGATTTGTTAATGGAAATTACAAATCAAAATACCAGCTATAGGAAGTGACCCAACTTTGAAAAAGGCTCTTTTTTTTTCATTTCATATGAGTATCCAAGGAAAGAGTTTTAAGTACAGCCACACTTTCAGCTTGCCCCAACTGTGGTGTTCTCTGCAAAGGACAGTACATTATTGGTTGCTAATAGTCATTTTCTTTACAAGATTCGTTTCTGTCAATTGCCATTTTAGGAATTAAATGGATTAAATGGATATATAGTATAATTTGGATGTGGTTGTGATAAATACACTGATTTACTTATCAAATAATATATAGTTTTGGCTCAGAAAAACAATGGTATCTGTATGTTTCTTCTCAACTAAAATCCCTCAGTCCTCAACTGGAATGTGTATTAGTCAAGGCGTCTTTTTAGAAATCTAGTCTTTATTTTCCTGCTCTTAGGACGGGAAAGGAAAATTAAAAAGGAATCCTAAAGTAGGTGCATTTAATTCTCCCCAATTTAAATGTAAGTGGTGCATCTTTTAGGCAATAATGATATTCCTTTTTCTCCTCCATCACAAACACTTCCATCAATGAATTTCTTTAATGCTGATGATGGTTAGTGCAGTTTGAGGGAATCTGTATTTATTCAAAAAATGTTCCCATAGAATGACCTACCAGATGGGCCCCATAACAATGCACGGAGACATCAAACCACCACAGACATTTGGTGCTTAGAATAATAAAAAGACTATAAAATTAGATTAGTTGAGTCTAATTTGGAATCGGTATATTCCCCACGCGCCCTCACCGCTCTTGGGCAGATAAAGCCTTGAGATTTAGCGCTGTGTCAAAGCAAAGACTGTAACTTCCAGTAAAAGGGAGATGAGAGAGAGGGAAGAAAAAAAAGCATTCTGGGAGGTCGCGGAGGGCAGAGCAGTGACCTCCAATGATTTACAGGCCTTTAGCTTAATGAAATTGTTTCAGTGACATGACAGTAAGAGCTCGTAATGGATTGGATGCCCTAATGTAATGAAATTACTCCCTTCTGCCTAAAAAAAAAAAAAAAAAATGCGCAATTAATATTTACTGAGACCTGACAGCCTTTGGTGCGCTCGCCTGTGTAGTTCCCTCAGACAGTCAGAGAGAAGAGAAGGAGCAGCGTGGCAGACAGGCTGGCTCTGCAGGAGCTCCTGGCAGGGACAAACAGAGCCTGCAAGGGGTGGAGGGACAGGCGCTTGGTGGCCAGGGATGCCGGCTAGCCTCCCAGCCCCTCGCCGCTGCCCCTGCTCAGCCTTCATGCTCTCCCTTGCTTTCCCTTAGGCAACTGGACAATAACCACATCAGCTGCATTGAAGATGGAGCCTTCCGAGCGCTGCGCGATTTGGAGATCCTGTGAGTTGATTTTGCGATTGCTGCCTTCTGTGTGTGTGAGAGTGTGTGCGTTGTGCGGAGAGGAGAGGGGGGGAGCGTATGTGTGCAGGGGGGTCCTTATGGATGCATTCCTGGGTCTTCTACTGCAATGCTATTAAAATCGGGTGCCGGGGGATCCCTCCGGCTTACCTTGGCCAAAGTGTTTGCAGGCTGCAAAGTGTGATTTCTCACCTCCCACAAACTGGGGTTCCTCAGTCGAGCTCCCGTGCTCCCGCTGTATTTGTTGGAGCAGATGGCCAGAATAGCCCCCCAGCATCTGTCTGTGTATTCAGGGAGCAGCTTCTTTGAGTATGGGCATACAGGGAGACAGGTTACAGGTCTGTGGCCAGTGACAGAGGGGTTACCACCAGAAGGTGAGTTGGAATTAGCCAGAAGCAGGGAGGGACCTTGGCACAGGACGTGGGGGAATGACAGACATCCTGGTAAGGTCCAGTTATTGCTCCTGCTTCTGGGATCTTATTGAAGGCTTAAATTCAAACTTTAAATAGTAACCTTAAAGTGGTGGGGATGAACAGATGAGAGGAGATGCTCCCTCCTTGCAATCTCACCATATATATTATACCTTATGTAGAAACAGACAGACACACACAAGACTGTCCTCCTGTGTCTTGGATTTTCACTTGCTCTAACTAAAGAAACCTCTTTCTGGAGAAAAGTCACCGAGGGGTCATATTGGGGTCATTCAACTAAAGTTGAATTGTGTTAGAAAACAGTTTGATTGTTCTCCCCAGCAGCTACTCTGCTCACTGCCCTTCATATGGGGAAGCCTGGTGAGGCAGCAATAAGGCATAGGAGAACTTAGGTCAGGGGCTGGGTGATTCGGTCCTTATCCTGCTACTAATTAGGCGTGTGACCTTGGGCAAGTCTCTTTGGCTCTCAGAGCCTCAGTTTTCTCTTTCGTAAAAATAAAGGAGGTGATCGCTTTAACTGGAGAGTGACTTACCCTTTCCAAAATCTGCAAAAAAATAATTACATTGGAACAGTTTTAGCTTCAGGATGATAAGAGACTAGGATGAGTTGAGCCTCCTTGGGAATTTTTTTTTTAAACTACATAGTCAAAGGTTTCCTGTGTCTGTTTGCAGTGGAAGAATGAACATCCAGTAAATGAATGAAAATATTAAAATATCCCTTTACACATAAAGGAAGGTGTACACATTCTTTCTTTACCTTTCTTTTCACCTGGAAGACACCGTCAGCGAGTTAGAAAGATCCCCTCCACCTTGCTAGAGAGGAAGGTGATTCTAGAAAGAATCACGGGAAATACAGGGATGCTGATGCTGCAAACTACTTGGAATCGGTTTCAAGCTAAGGATTCCTGGCACAGAAAAGACAGGACCCACAGACAGGAGAGGTCTGATTGTCAGTCCTAAGATGGATGGTCTCTCCTCACCCAAACTCTGACCCCGGAACCGGCAACAATTGCATGTCTGTGGGAGAGTGTGCCAGCTCGAATTTGGCAACCCAGCCCAGGACTTCTCTTCCTGGGAAACTGGAGTTGAGAAGGGAGGCATGGTTTTTCCTGCCTTCGAAAAAGCCATTGTAGAAAGGTCTGTTAGCAAAGTGTCACCTTTTCACTCCTTGCCAAGGAGAATAAGAAAGATGAGAAAAATTCCTTGGGAAGAAATGAGGAAATGGAAGTCACAGCTGCCACAAAACAGCTGTGATGACCTGTCAGCCCCTTAGTTAGTTCTCTGCTGAAAGTATTGTCTGAGGGAGTCTCGGGGGGAGAAGGAGCTTCAAGAATAGACTCATGTGGGTGGCAAATAGGAAGCCATGGACTTGGGTCAAGCTTCGTGACCTCTCTGAGTGTTCCTCACCTTTGAGAAGGGACCACACAGAAAGGACTCTCTAAATGTAGTCCTTCCCACATCTCTTCCTCCTACCCTGCCTTTATTACAATCAAACTCTTGCCCAGGAAATATTTGGACAACTCCTCTCTACTCAGATATTTTCTAGGAAAAAAAAATGATAGCCAGATATATCAGGTGCTGCTAAGTTAAAATCTAGAAACCCGTGACCAAAATAATAATAACAATAATAAAAAATAATCCAACCTCTCATTCCTCATCATTGCAAAAGGCCTGTAGGATCTGATTAGTCTATCTTCTCAATTCCAAACAAAGCCAGATCAATAGCTTTGTTTTAAAGATGTTCATTTGTCTTCACGTGGCTAAGCACTTACAATTAATCATAATCAGTTATTCTGTGGTTTTTTTGAATTTCCAGCAGAGGCCCAGGGCTTTGAGAACATCCATCTTAATGGTGAACCACTCCGAAATTGGCTGGAGTTGACATCTCCATTTAAGGAGACTCCCCTTCTCACCCCAGACCTTCCAAACATCATCTGTGCATTGGCATTTTATAACACGTTTCTGTGGCCAAATATTAGACACCGTAAGGAATCTTGTCAGTGAAACAATGAACAGGAACTAAGTGGAGGCTTTGCACATTAATAATTTTTTTTCAGAGATTAAGATTTTTAAAATACGCTAGCCCTAGAAAGGTTAATTTTAGGATCCTAAAAAAGTAACAGCTCACATGCTAAGAAGAGCATCGTACTTCAGATGTGCTGTGACATTACAGTGTGTGGTAGGAAACCAGGAAAGGGGCATGCTTATCTCACAGGAAGGTCTAGAGATTATTTATCTTAAAAGTCTGTGACGTCAACCACTCGGAATATCTTACACTCAGTAATACACTTTTCCCGTCCTTCTTGTGAGTGGAAATACCATAAATTTTCTTCGCTTTGAAAAGTTGGTTTTATTCATTACATTGAACATGAACTCAGAAGGTGAATCTGAGTGGGGACTAATGACAGAAGGAAAATCGTAGTCTGGGGCCAGGATGGCAAAGTGTGAAAGGTGCCACCTTCTCATCCATATTGGCTGTGTCCAATAGGGACTGTCCAGCTCAAGGTGTGGTGAACAAGGAAAGGTGATGCCACCCTTTGCTGTCCAGTCAGCAGAAAGTGTGGTACAGCTGAAACTTACTAAGGCTGGCACATGATCACAGGGAAGGAAGATGGTGAAATGGCCAGATCATGCCCACCAGCATAGCCAGTGTGCCCTCCGTCATAATACTTCCTCACGTTTTCTGTCTGCACGCTTTCAGCCCCTCCAAGAAGCTATGACTATTCCTGTTACCCTCCTTTTACAGTAGTCCATCTCAGAAAAACCAGCTAACTGCTAAGAAATAAGCAACCCAGTCTCCGTGGCCACTGGACCAAGCTGCCTCACTAGCCATGTCGCCAAAGCTTGAGATACATTGTGTGCTGCAGGGCGGTGTGGAGTGTCCTCCAAGAGCTGTCAGTGACTCTTGTCAGAGCTTCTGACAGCCTGCAAAATGGCCCTTGATGTTCCATTCACACAGCTAACAGACCCCTCCAACTGCAAGGCCCCTCAAAGTGAAAGGGCCCTCAAAGTGTAAAGTAGATCAGACTTGCAGGGGAAAGTAAAGAATCTTTTCACTTCCTAACCTTGTAATTGCAGGGATGATTTAGTCTCACTTCTGTTGTCTCCAGCCCTCAACAATTTTGGGGGGGAGGGTTGCTTTCCATAAACTACACACACACACACACACACACACACACACACACACACACACACACACACACACAC